GTGACTCTCTGAAGTGGGCTTTGGCTTTTCACTTCAAGTAATTCCACTGCAAAATTCACTGCTGCTTAATATTTCTTGTGTTTTATAAGCTGACAATAGTAAGTTTTTAAAATAGAACACCAAACAAACAAACAAAAAAAAGCAGAAATGCAGAAGGAGATATAAAAGATATATATTGAAAGCAATTTTAAACACAGCAATTTATATTAAAATTCATTAAACTGGAAGGATTTTTGAGTTCCTTAAGAACATAGAAATTACTGTTAAACAAAAATACTTAGGGGGAAGAAAAAAAACAGAACTACACCCAGTTGACTTCTTACCAAACAACATTTCTAGAAAATTTTCTTTCATGTTTACTATTCTGCATTTTTTGCACCAGACCATTCCTTCTTCTTATCCTAAAGTATATACAAATGTTGCGCTTATATGAAGGCCTCTGGTGGACCTTTTATGGAAGATAAATACACAAATTATACCTTATTCTGACCTGACATGCTCATGCAGAGGGAAAACAGCACTCTACACTCATTTCCTTACTTGTTAGAAAGATTAATTAGAATTTCCTCAACCTTTATAACAATATAAACTTAACCTTAATTGAACTAAGTTCTGAAAGACAGACACTCAGTCTCAGATTTGCAGAAATACCACAGTATTACCACAGACTTGTGATAACTTTCAGAAGTTTTCTTCACCTATTTTGCAGGTCGTGGGGAACAGGGTATTGAATCTGCTAAAATGTTCCTTACTTCTCAGGACTGAACTGATAAAATCTCTCCAGCAGCAGAGAAAGTTACCAATTAGTGAATAAAACATCTTTCAGGAACTCTTACGTAAACTTATTAGTTACTAATTTCCAGAAATAATCTTTACCCTCACTATCAGAAACACATTCTTCCTACCGATTACTTTGCCAGCAGAATAATACATTAAGCCTGGGGAAGTTAGAAAGATGACAAACAGGGGCTTTATACATAGTCACAGTACTTCATAAATCCAAAGAAAAATTTTACTACATTAATTATTTTGTAGTGTTCAAAGAAAATGCGTCACTGTCATGCACTACAGCTATAGCTGGCTAGAAAATAAGCCCTGCTAAATGCACTGCTTTCCCAGTCTAAGACCCAACAGAAAACCTGTTTGGAAATTCTACCATATGCTAGATAGCAATTTAGTATAACAAAACATTTCTTCTCATCTATGGACTGTGTTCTCTGGCCAGATTACAACTTTCAAGATCCACAACCATCATCTCACTGAACCACTACAGTTGACTATAAAAATCCTAGGTCAAAGTCTATCTTGGCAGATGCAGCGTAGCTAACAAACCTAAAAAGCAGCAGTGAAACACAAAACCTTCAGATACCCATAAGCATAAATTTTAATGACGCAGAGAAGCAGTACTCTGTCCTTTCTGGCGTGTTGGAAATTCTTTTACAATGTTTAATGCTCTCCATTCAACATGGATGGTTAAAAAGAAAAAAAAAAAAACAACTTGTGTAGTCAAAAAAAAAATCAAAAGGAAAACAAGAACAGCAAAACAAAACAAAACAAAAAACTAGTACTCTGCTGTGGAAAAGAACCTTGCATAATGGAAGTAAGGAGTTTATCAAAAAAGGCCTGCTCACAACATGAACTCCAAAAATCCTTTACCTTAGGGTTAAACATGAAGCCAAAGAGTAAGAAAAGAAGAGTAGTTGTCTGAGCATTCTCAAGAAACCCTGTATACTCAGCGTATAGTTATAAGCCATCTAAGTTACAGCATATTAATCACTGCTTGAGCAACTAAATCCATTTAATCTTTCCTTTATAAAACTTAAAATACTATATGGGGAAAAAAATGGTCTCAAGTAAGGATTGCCAACATATGCTCTTAAGAACATAAATTTTAAAAAAGAACAAAAGAGAGACGATCCTAACAAATACAGCAAATCTCAGATATTGTCAGCTTCCCCATTGATCAGTAATGCAATATTCATTTTTAAAAAAAAAAGTATATAAGTATATAAAAGTATATAAGTTACTTGATACATGTAAGTGTACATATAAGGAAAGAAGAAGTAATTAATAAAGAATTAAGGTAAATGAAAAAGCATTTTTATTTTCTAACTGGAATGGAGAGAGGAAAAGATAGCATATTTCTTCTGACAGAAATGTCAGCTCTTCACAGTTATCACTGAAGAAAGTTCTTTGACACGGTTTCCCATAGGATCCTACTGGACAAAATGTCCAGCATGCAACTTAAAAAAACATCATACAATGGGTGAGCAATTGGCTGACAGGCAGGGCTCAAAGGGTTGTGGTAAATGGGGCCACATCAGGCTGGTGGATGGTCACTAGTGGGGTCCTTCAAGGCTCCATTTTAGGGCCAGTCCTCTTCAATGTCTTTATAAATGATTTGCATGTAGGACTAGAAGGTGTTTTCAGCAAATTTGCCAATGACACCAAACTTGGAGGAGCTGTGGACTCTGATGAGGGTGGCAAGGCCTTGCAGACAGATCTGGACAGATTGGAGAGCTGTGTGATCACCAACCGCATGAAGTTTAACAAAGGCAAGTGCTGGGTCCTGCACCTGGGACGGGGCAACCCTGGCTATATGTACAGACTGGGTGAGGAGACACTGGAGAGCAGCCCTGCAGAGAGAGAACTGAGGGTTGTGGTTGGCAGCAAGTTGAATATGAGCCAGCAGTCAAATATGGCAGCCAGGAAGGCCAACCATATCCTGGAATGCATCAAGCACAGCATCGCTAGACAGTCAAGGGAGGTGCTTGTCCCAATCTAAACTGCGCTGGTGCGGCCTCACCTCGAGTACTGTGTGCAGTTCTGGGCACCACAGTACAAAAAGGATGTAAAACTGTTGGAGAGTGTCCACAGGAGGGCTACAAAGATGGTGAAGGGACTAGAAGGAAAGACACATGAGGAGCGGCTGAGGGCACTGGGCCTGTTCAGCCTGCAGAAGAGGAGGCTGAGGGGAATCTCATCGCGGTCTACAACTTCCTCGTGTGGAGGAGTGGAGAGGCAAGTGACCTATTCTCTGTAAACACCAATGATAGGACCCACAGGAATGGTGTTAAGCTGAGGCAGGGGAAGTTTAGGCTGGACATCAGGAAGAGGTTCTTCACCAAGAGGGTGCTTGCACACTGGAACAGGCTCCCCAGGGACGTAGTCACTGCACCAACCCTGTCTGAATTTAAAAAATGATTGGACTGTGCACTTAGTCACATGCTCTGAACTTTTGGGCAGACCTATGTGGTGCCAGGAGTTGGACTTGATGATCCTTATGGGTCCCTTCCAACTCCAGATATTCTATGATTCTATGATTCTGAAAAACTGCTGAAAAGGCATATCGCACAGAGGCAAAGACAAGAACCTCTGAGCTAAGCAGAGAAATCTGAACAAAGGCAAAGGGATACACTGAGATTACCCTTCACCCTCAGGTCCCTACCACCTCACAATTCACTCCTGCAGAATTGAATTGGATTCATTCTACCCCAGCAGACATCAAAATTAATACTTCTTTAAATCAGCTAATCTTGCACAATTATTTTTTTTAAACACGTACCACAGAGTTACACTATCACTACCTTTCCCAGACATCAGTTTAAGAAATTTGAATGAGGATTTATTTTCTGTGATGAAAGAGAAATTTTTAAGCTGGTGAAAGCCAAAGAGAACTTGAAAATAAATGCCATCATTGTTCATTACGGGTCAAGAAAGAAATAAACAACCCTCAAAGCTCAACATCCATTTCAAATAAGCTAGTTCACTGATAGTACATGCAGCTTCCAAAAAATACACACAGGGCCTCAAAGAAAAAGTGGACTAACATGAGAATGAGAAGGTTGGTGTATTCCAATATATAGTGTTTTCAATTACCCACATAAGACCCTTCATTAAAGAAGGAAAATAAGAAAAATATAAAAAGTAATGTCATGCTAGCTGTGCGTATTACACTGAACAACCTGTAAAGATGAAGGTCCTTTTATTCTCTGACTTTGTGCTTTGATGCACTCTGAAATGTCAGGGCTTCTAGCAAGTGTTCCCAACTATTCTTTTAAGCAACTCAGTTTGCATGCCCTCTCTCCAGCATTACACCATGACAGCGGAGAGCACAAACTAAATAGAAGTTGCCATAAGCTACAAGTATGATAAAGGGACCTTCTTTAATACATATCCCTAAATGCAATGAGGTGTGAGAGAATTTAAATAGTCACTATGGTAACAAAAAACAGATAAGACAAGGTTATCAGATCCCATATTAGGACCTACGAAGATGAAAATGACCCAATTCAGACAAAAGGGGAAAGGGAGATAAAAAGTGAGAACAAAAAATCACTTGGCATTTCATACAGAATATATTGGAATAGCTGAATGTCCTCCTCCCTTTGATTTTAGCAGTTTCTGGATAAAGCCATGCTTGATCAATTTGGAGAAAAACTTTTAGTAAAACTCCACTTTCTCAACAAGAATAAACTGAGGCCACTGAAATAATAATAATCAACTACTCACAGCCAGTGCATCACAAATTTGCCATCAGTTTGGTGTGGCCAGTACCCTACACTTGAAACTTGAGCAGGTGTTGTGCTGGACATCAGGACTGTGTATAGAACAGTGGCTTAATATATATTCCACCTTAGTCTCAGTCCTTTGAGGCTGACATCTGGCAAGATGCCAGACTACATCCTGACTTTTTCCAGATATTTTTAAAGAAAATATTCACAGCATTTACTGCAGTCAAAAAGAAGTTTCCTGGAATAACCTGCATCCATCTTGATTATATCATACCTCTTTGCACTCCATAACAACAGTAACACCTGTCAGTTTAATATAGCAAGGCACAAGCTAAAAGCAACAGTTTCACAAAGGAACATTGAAAGATATCAATCGGGACAAAGGCATAGTGGCTTACAAACTCCTTGAGCAACAGAAGATAAATTTAGATGGTATCTACAAAATATATTGGAGAGACAAAGAAATGATGGCAAAAAGGAACTTACTTGATTTTACTGAAGACAATGTCAACATCTGTGACTGTCACATTTTTCCCATCTATTACATGACAGTCCTTGCACAGTTTTGACCAGTTCTTCCCATGCATTTCTTTTCCTGTGGCTCTTGTATCACCATGTATGGCAAACTTTCTAAAGGCCTCTTCCAGAGCACTCAAGTCTCCTGCCACAGCTCCCTCATGGGAGCTGTTTGAATCACAGGATAACCTTTTTGCTGCTCGGTCCTTTGCTGGATCAGAAGGAGATTTTGGAGGAGTCTTATTTGCAGGTTTGGTCGACTTTGCTTTACTGTCAGCCATTGTGCTACAAGAAAGAGAAGGGTAAATTCATTATATTACTTTACACTATAGTTTACTTTGCATAAAACTAAAGGATACAGTCCATGTCACAACATACTAATAGTAAGTGGTCCAGGAAGTGTGCAAGAACTTGGTACCCTCCATCAGACAAGTCTACACATAGAACTATGTAACTTTATATCCATCCAAAAAAAATCAAAATAAAAAATCTACTATTATAAAAAAGCAGGAAACCAATATTCCAATATGGGACACAAAATTAATTTCACCATCATGCCATCAGATAATAAGAGAACACTTACTGTTTCCTTTTTTTCTTAATCACAAGCTGAATTCATCACAGTTGCACTTGAATAAAGGTATGCCCTTTATATTGTAGGCAGTACTATTTACATTTAATTTTTAAGTAAAAAAATAAAAATAAAAAGCCACAGTCCAGACCTCCTTTTTTTTTAATTGAAAAATTAAGTATTTTGAAAATGCAGCAAAAACGTTACTGTTTCAAAGGGCTAACAAGTAAGGAAGCCTCACAAATTCTTGGACAAAATTCTCCTGTTAACAAAACCACTTATTGCTCAAGTTCATGTGCAAAGAACAATAGCTATGGAATTCCTTTACAAAGAATACATCCAGGATGCAGGAGTAAGGAGAAGAGATGTTACTACTGCACAGAACAACCCAGATTACATCATATTCATGTGGGATATGTTTGCCTTTTAAAAGAAACTTTAAGCTGAGCAACAGCACAATAAGGTTATTTTCAGGAGTCATCAAGTAAAAAAAGGAAATATACACTACAGCCCACTAACATACCAGAAGCATGACATAGAAGTCTGTGCCTTCTGCCCATCCACTCTTAGCTTGACAGAAGAGATCCTGAAAAGTCTACACACAGTGTGCCTGTCCCAACAACTACATGCAGACTTTTGCTCAGATACACATCTGTGGTGCTGCTACAAATTTTAATCCATAAGGAGCTGCTTCAGATATCAGAACTTTGGCAAATACTGGTGTAATGGCTAGAAAACCCTCCATACTTACCTTGTCATGCTTCTGAAATCACAGCTGTACATGGTAGACAGCTAATATACGCAAAGATTGGTATATATTTCTAGTTAAGGTTTAATTTCTGCATCAGATGGGAATTTATTTTGGCTTATATGCTGTATTTTGACACAAATTCCTCAGCAACTGAAACAATTTTAGACTTCTACCTCTTCCAATATCTTATATCACATGTTCAATATCCATATCCAATATATCCTCATATCCAATATACGTTCCAGTAACCTCTGTTACTTGAACAACCAAGGCATACCCTTTTCTTCACACTGCAGAACCAACCATAAATACTTGCTATGCAGCATTTATTATTAAGCATGAAGCCAACCTTATTAAGCATGAAGCAACTAGGCTCCTAAAGTAGAAATCTCCACATTCGTAATCTTTGGCTTTAACTTGAAATGATCGGACTATACAAAAATCCATACTGAACACCAAAGCATCACACTACAAGTCAGTTTCATACATTATGCACAAGAAAACAAAACCCAAATTTTGAAGCAATAACTCCAACAACCCAATCCAATTCCTTTAGATCTGTTATTTTTTCTAGAATATAACAAATATTTCTTTGAACAGTCTGTCTTAATTCAGTTTCTAGCAAACTATTATTATGTTCTCTCCAATCTGACAATGGTACATTCTCCATTTTAAGAACTCACATTTAAAATAAAGCACTGGTACTGGACCAGAGAAATTTCAGGGAGCACAAGTATTGTATTGGCAGTATTCGCAACAGCCATAAACCCATATTTGAGGAAGTAAGATCAACTTATATTGAAAAGAAAACTATGATGAAAATAGGAATGACAACAGTCTGATAAGCATTCTGAATTTCTGGAAAACAGACTTATAAGTCATGATTAGAAACAATCTTTTAATTAAAGCTACGTTAAAGGACCTTTGACCTTTAAACTTCAGCAAATGCAACATGGCCAAAGCAATACTGCATGTTTTGAATATGTTCAAGTTAATGCTTAAAAACCTAGTTATATCTTAACCACGGGGATCCTTTTTTTTTTTTCCACTGTCCACAAAAATTCTGGCAAACAAAATCAGATGGTAAATTAAAAATTAATGACAGAAATAACTCCAACCTGAGACCTATAGGTGTACCTCTGAAATAATAAAAAGAAATGCATGAAAGTATGCACTGCGGGAAGGGGTTGGGAGGGTGTTAAAGCTCATTGGAAAGCTAAGCGTTTAACTCTTTCCCATTTCTATTTCCTTTGTGCCCTGCCTGATCTCCAAAGAACAGTAATTTTACCTCAACCTTTTCTGAAAGTCTCCCACTATTGAAACTATAAATTAATTTATATAGACTAAAATGTAAACTAGCACAACGATTACAGATGCATAAGTTTTCAATAAAACCATACCTAGATCAGTCTAAACTCTCTGCTTCAACAGGCTGCACAGATTCTTTTGCTACCAAAAGAGTAGATGCATAAGAAGAAAACAAAACACTTGAGACACTCTGTGATATATGGAGTAAATCTGTGTCAAGAAGATGGTTGATACTAAGAAAGAAGGGGGAGATGTGGGAGTGTGGCCATGGGGTTCGGCAAGCCCCATGGTTGGTGATAACATCAGGCTCTTAACGATGAGGCCACCAGGAACGTAAAAGAGTTTAGAGGGAACAAAGAAGGGTGATTCAGGAGACTCCATGCAGTCTGGGGTTGCTTGTTCTCCAGCCGTTAAGGCATGGAAGTTTCTGTGTGTTTGCTGTTGTTGTTATATTCAAAATTGTTTGACCAATGAAAAGTTGTTTTGAAAAGAACAACTGTTCTCCACTGTTGTGGAGAGAAGGGTATAAGAGGGGAGCCTGCCCTCAAGATAAAAAAAAAAAAAAAAAAGGCAACGCGATGTGATGAAGTTATGTCATCAATAAAGAAGGAATGAAAAGGAACAGGCTAGCAGAATGGAGACCAGGATGGGAACAGGTACATTGATTGCCTCATGAAGATCGTTTCGGCAAAACTCATAAAACTACTCAGAGAAGTTCATAGAGAAAGTTGCTGGAAATGGGCGCACTGGAGCTGGGAAGAAGCTCGAGCTGAGAGAAGGGGACCTGTGCACACAACTGCCTCTCGCTGGTAAGCAGTTGTGCATTATGGAGAATCATATGTCCTTAGGAACAAAGACTGTCCTGGTAACCTTACAGCTTATTCTCCTTCTTAACAATCGGACAGCTTATGATCCTGGTACATGGGACCAAACTGACTGAGGTCAAGGTGTGGGACTCTGCAACTAGAAACGACAAGGTTGCAGTGGGATTGCTCAGCACCTGGCAAACAATCTCTGAGGCTTTAAAGAGTCATGTGCGACCACAGTCAGAAACGTGTGGCTTGCCAGATAGTGAGGGAGCTGCGGGTTCATCCACCGATCCTTCTGCTACACCATTGGCCCTCCTGCCGCTACTGCCATCACAGGCCTTTGCTTTTATGCCCCCTGCTGACCTGGATATGCCTTTTGACCCAGGCCCTATTGGCAGTGAAAAGGAGATGGATGTGTTTCCCTTCCATCCGGGAAGAAGAGGATACATAAGGCCCAAAGACCGAGTTGCTTGACAACTTAAAGCGAGACATATTGTTCCCACGAGTAGCCCTGGAATTCTCCAGTGTTTGTAATCAAGAAAAGGAATGGAAAATGGAGACTGTTATATGACATGAGAGAAATTATTGAAGTCATGGAAGATATGGGAGCACTTCAATCAGGATTACCAACTCCAACTATGCTCCCCCACACACGGACATTGATAGTATTGTTTGTTACCTTTTCTGATTGTACATATATATAGGCGTTCTTAAGTTTAGTATGTAAAAGCAATGTTCTGTATATAAAGTTTGATGTTTGTGTGTGCATGTTGGTAGAGCATAGACTCCCCGCACAACCAGCAGTGTTTACTTGTCTTTTATAAATATTACTAAATTCAGATTGAGTTGAGACTTCATTTATAACACACTATGCTTGAAAAGAGCAACATTAAAAATCAGATCATGAAGATCTATGATCCATTTCTGTCCTCTAGAAAGCTTTACTTTCAAAAGTAGAAGTCTCCTCCAAGTTTGCACCATTTCAGATCTACTGGAGCTGGAAACTTAAATCAGAATGTTTCTAACATAGCACTAAGTGGCTAGAGAGTACACACCAGCAAAAAGCAAAATCTACATTTTAGTGGCTGCATAGGATATTTGTGTTGCAATCTTCTTCACATCCCTGTTCGAGCACCATTTGTGGTGTAACAACCACACAGACACCAGGATTCTTTTAGGATCAATAACTGATACTTCTTTATTGATGATATAACTTCAACTCACTCTTATTGAGGACAGGCTCCCTTCTTATGCCATTTGCTCTACAGCAGTACTTTTCCAGTAACTACTCATTGTGTGGGAATAAAAGTATATTTATTTTTTTTGCAGAGTTACATCGTTTATAGGTAAATAATCTGGTATTGAGATATGTTTGCAGTGATAAGAAAGTTTAGCAGGCGACCTTGTAAAAATGCAGACAACCTGACTCCTTAGAACAATTAAGTGAAAATCACAGCGTCAAGTCAGATAAGTAAAGAAACGTTACCACTTCAAACAGTAAAAGAGTCAAAAGAATATTGAAATTTAACAGGCCAGCAACTGAAGGCCATGTATTGTCTGTGAAGTACCAGATAGGTTGTGAACCTGGATTACCCAGTCAATGGGGAAACGAGAGGGTCCCAGTCATCGAGAACTAAAGTATATAAACACTACTGTGTGACTAGTAGGTGTGCTCATGCCTGCAGAACGCCTGCCACTCAATCGGAAATAAAATTGCTACTTCACTGAGATCCTTGCCTGAGCCTAAGTTATTGGCTACAGAGTGTTTCTCAAATAACTTTGCCGGCCAACCACAAACGACCGGCAACTTCCACGTTTTAACGACTGGAGAACAAGCAACCCGAAA